AATTAAAAATTTTTTTTTCTTTTCATGCCAGATCATAGATTCTAAAGCCAAACTAACTTCTCTTGCCTCTTTAAGCTAATGACTTGTTGTTTAACCTTCACAAATTAATGGAATTGTGAGCTAACAACAGTTTATGCTACTGTTTGCCTTTGAAGTGTTTATTTTTGTCATGTTCACTTCAGAAACTTCTCGCTTATTAGTTTGACATGATTGATGCCGAATTCACTTTCCCCATCTAATGCTTTCCTCCATATACAACTCCACTTTGTGGGATCTGTTAACAAGGAGATAATTAAATGTAAATATGACTCTCGGGCTCTTCCGTCTCTGAAATGGAATACATATAAGACAACAAGGAAATATGGGGGGAAAGGTGGGAGGGAGATCCACTACTCCCTTCCACCAGGGTGATGCAGCTAATAATCTCATGAATAATCCATCACCAAAAGCTTCAGGAGGAAAACACGAAGAAAAAAAAAACCCTCCCACCTTCTTTATGAACTGACCCAAGATAGAACACAAGAGCTCATTGGTTGACCAATGGCTGAAGGAGCCTGGATAGACCATAAATGGTCCCAGAAGAGAAACCAACAGCCAAAAGGGAGGATCGTTGCTTCCTGTAGTGGTTGTGGCTAAAGACCCAAAGAATCCAGGCCTTTAGAGCTAACTTAGAGAGCATCTGGTCCAACTGATTATGTCTGAATATTCCTACTAAAACAAGTGTTATGTGTTGGGCAGTGCCAAAAGAGTCAATTTATCTACAGGAAAATATACAACATATTGCAGTGTAAGTGCACAGTAGTGTTTTACCCAGAAATGAATAAAGAAAAAAAAAAAGACGGGTTTCTTTTTCCAGAACTTATGTGATTTGCAACTAAAGGGAAATTTCTAACTGGTAATACATTGTCTCCTTCCCAAATGTCAGTATGTCCAAAGCCGCATGACACTGCAACTTTTCCCAGATATCTGCATATCCTAAGCACACTGTGTCAAGAAGCCTTACCCAGAGGCTTGATTTATGTTGCTGCCCGACAGACGATGTCTGGAAGGCATGCTGTCTACATGGACTGTGCTCCGGCATTACCTTAGTCATCAATTCTAAGAGCATTAATGAGCACCATTCATCCCAATAATAGAAACCAAGGTCAGGGCCTCCTCCATGCTCTGTAATTCCATTAGCAATGCACAGAAAGCACTTAGGTCATAAGCTCTGTAGACCTCAGGATTGAGCAAACGGAGCTGCGTCTTGTTTTCGGAGAGAAACTTCTCCGAGCACACCCCTTGTCAATGATTTGTTGTACAGCAGCATTTGATGTACTTACACATGTAAGGGAAATGCTGGTAAAGGAAGGTGAGGCTGTCTTCAGCTGCCAAGAGTTTCAAATACTGTTTTTATTAAAGTAAATGCCAATAGAAAACAATTTGAATAAAACCACTTGAAGCACTTCAGTGACTGGATGTACATTTCTACATCGTGTACTCATTCAGGTATTATGTAAGCCACTCCATCATTCCATGGGTCTGCCATAGAATTTATTTTAGTTTTCGTTCTTTTATCTTGGATTTTATTGATTTATTTTAGTTTTTATGCTACCTACCCTAATAAAGTGAAAATGGCCTTGAAACTAAGCGTTATCACCGTATGCAAATAATACTATTTAGAATGAAACTTTCATCTTGAAATCTCAAGCAGCAGCATGCTTCCTAAGCTAAGTCTCATCAGTCAGCCCTTCACTCCTTATAATTCAAATTGCTCTCAACCTGCCACATGTTAAAAAAAGAAGGAAGTAACCCCGAGATTTGAAGCCACAGGCGTGGGTTTGAATCCTGGCTTTGACATTTTTTTTCCTCAACGGTTAAATAAACATAATTATTAAATTTTTACAGCTATTTCACACTGTAGCTGTAAGGAGTTAAAATAAGTTCCTAATACAGTCCCTGGATACTAACAAGTAATAGCTTAGTGTGTGTGTGTGTGTGTGTGTGTGTGTGTGTCTGTCTGTCTGTCTGTGTCTGTGTGTCTGTGTGTCTGTGTCTGTGTGTGTACGAAATCTTGTTTGGAAACGTTTGGAGTTTCATGCCCAGTAAATTATAAATGATACACAGTAATGGAGGGGAGCAGAGGCATGAATAATGCAAAACAGCAAATCATCCATATATCATTTGCATGTGTTTTGAAATGTATTTTTAAATTTCATTTCAAATGTGAGTGTTTCTAATACCCAAAGAAATTACTTGAAAGGAACGACACTACGATGTGAAGTCCTCGCTAAATGGCATGAGGAGCTGTCCAGTTTCCCTGTTCTCTCCTCTCCACCCTCTTCTCCCCTACCCTTCTCCTCATGCCTTGCCTGTCAAAAGACAGCAGCCACAAAGAAACCACTTCAAGCAAAGCTCCTGCCTTTCACTCTCCCCTGAATCAGGACCACTGGTGAAGCATTTACGATTCCCTCCTTAGAGGCAGCCTGCACTCACCAAATGAAAGCCCTGGGCACTCAGGGAGCACTTGAGTGGAGGGAGGAGATGGTGAGGGCGAGAGAGGCAGCATGGGGCTCTGCTTTAGCGCAAAGGCTGTGGAATCTGACAGTCTGGGATTCTAAACCCTGGTCAGCCTATGTGACCTTGGGCAAATTGCAGACTGTTTCATGCCTCAGTCTCCTCCACTGTAAACATGCAATGATGATGCTATCAGGTATCTCATATGGTTTGTTAAAGATCAAATTGTAGTTATCTTAATGTAGTTATAATAGTGTGTGTGTGTGTATAAGGCTCAATGTGGTTAATGCCTCATATACAGAAGAGATCTGTATTATGCTGATTTCCCTGTGGATGATAAACTCTTACTTATAAGTTGGTGTTTTCCTACAGAGACCTGCAACACCTTTTTTGTGAAACCTGAGAAAAGCAAACAGGATTCTTGACCTCATCTAGTGTCTGTAATTTCCACAAAACATATCTCTCTTTCCCAAATGAAGCTGTTTTAGCTGTTACAGGTTTACCCCATGCAGACAGAATCCGAGCCGGTGCCTATGTACAAACACACACACGTCAACCGTGATATCGGAAACACTTAAAAATAATCGTAATAAAAAGAATGAATGAAAAGTTAATACTTAGCAGTTCTTAATGCCAAGCACTGTTCTAGTCATTTTATCTATGATAACTCATTTACTCCTCAGAACCATCCTGTGAGGTCAACTATATTATTATCCCAATTTTACTGTTGAAATACAGAAACTCAGAGAGGTCACGTAGTTGTTCAAAGGTCGGGATAGGTAGCAATATACGCATTATGACCCAGGAGATCATATCATTTATTGACTGTTCCAGGACACTCTTGAACATGAAAGGGGGCAAAAACAGGAACAAAAGTTGACTCTAATGACAGGTGAAGGCCAAACAGCTTGCAACACCCATATCATGTTATGCAATTAGTAAATGAATGAGTTCTTATTACATTTCTACTTGAGCAATATATTGTCCTAAGACTGTCGAATGATCATTAGTATGCTTTAAGTAAGGTGTTCTTAATTAAAGCCATCCATGCTTGTGGTAAATAAAACTGTGTTTGAGCTTGCAACATGATTAGCTTCACTTCAGAGATGCAGGCTCAGCCAGTATTTTTATATGCTACCTGTAACCTTTCACAACAGAAATATGATCAAGGTATTGGTTCATTAACTCTCTGATTGTCCTTCCTTACCATGGCCATTAGCTGACGTTCTGCCTTTCACTGTAACACATACACAAGATTGAGAGTTTAAGGGACAGACATCCCTGGAGCATAATGAACGGTGGAGTGCGTCTTTGCCTCTTTATGCAGATGAAATCAGTCCCTGACTTCCACAGGGAGAGCAACAAGTCATTGACAGGCAATTTCCCCACTGGGGCTCCTGTCCTGAAGGAAAAAAGGAAAGGAAACAGCTTTCTATATGGTCAGCTTCTTGAGGGCACTTATAGGGACACTGTGCACTTTTGATGTCCAACCCCAGGAATAGATAACCTGGTAGGAACTCAAACAATGACACTGAATACGAATCAACCTGCTAGAAAATCTATATCCCCAAGAACCTGGCTCTCCCCACATATATAAATGAATAATGAAAAAGAAAATGAATTTTCATTGTTTTAAAGAGACATAGAGCATATTTCATCAATTGTAACACATTTTTCATATTTTAATATTTCAGAAATTAGCATGTTACGTCAGAGTGTCATTGTTTAATTGCCAGAGTTGTTTTTTTTTTTCTATTTTTCTTTCTTGTCCATAAAAGAAAGGTATATCTTAGCATCAATGACATCTTAGATTTGCTGAAATATGTTATCTACCAGATATTAGCAAGATCTCAGCACCACTTGCATTGAATCAGAAAGAAGAGGTAATAGTTGAAAACTGCATCAACCTTTAAACTACGGCTTAGTAGATAAGTAGGAAGTTGGTCATAACTTCTTCACCAGCTGGGTAATTCCCATATAAGTATTTTTCTCCCCTTCTTGTTTTCTCCTCTCAGTAAAACAGAAAAGGGTAGATGTTAAGTTACCAGCATTTATTATATTTTTCTGAACTGTATTGTTGTCCCCAGAGTATGAGCTCTTTGGGCACAGTGTTCTACGTCTGTGGTTCTCAATTTTTTGTATGTATTAGAATCTCTTGAGGAGCTTCTTGAAAATCCATTGTCCTCTCCTCCTACATGAACATTCTGATTTGCAAGGTCTAGGATACGACCCAAAGAGCTGTATTTTTAATCCTAGGGTGATTATGATGGTCCATGTGTTTGGAATTAGCCCGTCACTGCGAAGGACTTGAATTTAGAGACTCCGGTGTCAGTAGCATGCACAGAGCTGTATTTGATAGGGATGATTGTAATCTCAAGAGGCAAATACACTGACAAAAGGAAGAATTCTGATATTGCATTGTTTCGTTTGCGGCTGATACTCAAAGGTAAAACATGTACTGGTCATGCCCCTAATACCTATTTCTGTTGGGGATGTTTTTGTAGCTGTGCCACATAAAATTGGACGCATCATTGATGGGAGTCCCGCAGATCGCTGTGCGAAACTAAAAGTGGGAGACCGGATCTTAGCAGTGAACGGCCAGTCTATCATCAACATGCCTCACGCTGACATCGTGAAGCTCATCAAGGATGCAGGTCTTAGTGTCACCCTTCGCATCATTCCTCAGGAGGGTGAGTGCCTGCACTGGGGTCGTGGAGCCCACCTGGCTGCGGTCAGGGTGTCAACATCAGAAGTTGTTTTTTCCATTTTTGCAAAAATTAACTCTCTGTTGCAACCCATATCCTGTTTACTCAATACCATTTTCATTCAAAGATCAAGCTATACGGTGTTGTAGATAACTAGTGTGAATCCCAAGGCACTGGCTTGTTCAGTCTTTCCCTTTAGTCCCGGCAGTACTGTTTTTATGGTTATATTAAGCCAGGACCCATTCAACAGAGATGATAAAGTTACAAATCTGGCGGAAAAAAAATATTCATGTTAGCAGTTAAGCTCTGGAGGATTCTTCAAAGTCAGATCGATTTTGAAAAGCTTGAGGAAGTTGTGGTATAAAGAGAGCTCATTTAGGAAATGTTGCATCTGATAAGAATTTTAAATTCCCACTTAGCCTTTTGAATTTCTCTGTACAAGGACTCCCCCCTGAGGCTTGAGGAGTAGTGAGCGTTACAACTCACAACCATGCCTTAAGGGGCCACGGAATTCTCTGAGCACCGATTCACCATCACTTCACCATTTCCAGCCACAGTGGGTTCATTACTAGCTGCTGGCTCATTAATGACATTTGGGAATTCAGCCTCTGGAGCTCGCTGGTGAGTGGACCACAGTGCCCACATGGAGAAGGATGGGCTCACTCACGTCTGTCCCCTCTGGTTTACTCGGTCTCCTCCTTTCCTCTGGGGACTAACAAGCAGGCATCAACAGCCGCCTGACTATAAATAGAAAACAGTGACTCTCAGTGGAGGTGATTTTGTCCCCCCAGGGGGCATTTGGCAATGTCTGGAGACATTTTTGGTTGTCATGATTGGGCCGGGGGTGCTACTGGTGTCTAGTGGGTAGAAGACAAGGATGCTGCTCTGTAAACATCCTACAGAGCCTAGGACCACCCACCACAGCAGGAATTATCTGGCCCCAAGTGTCCGTAGTGCCAGGGTTGAGAAACCCTGATACAAGTGGAGAAGAAATTTTAAAATTTAGGGTGAGAGCAAAGAAAGGGGAGAGTGATGTATAAGGGAATGCTAATCACTTCTTTTTTTGTCACCCAGTGAAAAAGAAAAAAAAAAGACCATTTTTAACTTGTTATCTGAAGAAAACATTATGTATAAAATATTCAACAGAAGTTAACTCTAAGCAAAATTGGTCACAAAAGACTTGCTTCTCCCTTTTCCCAGTAAGAAATATGTCTGTCCTGCTCTTATTCCAACATGGAGAGATAACTTCAGTTGAAAATTTGATGCTAAACAAGAAAGACCAAGAAGCAGTTTTAACGGAGAACAACTTATGAACCTTCCTCTGTCCAATGTTCTTTTCTCTTTCCAGAGAACCATGGAGTACAGAGGGTTATTAGGCAATAAGACTAACAAGGAACTGAAGAAAGGATTGTGAAAAGCACTTACTTTTCTTATGGTTAATTCCTTATCCAAACTTTTGAATACTGGTAGGACTTCTCATTACAACCAAAAAGTAGTGGCTAAAACACTTTTCTTGCAGCAAGCAATGCTGGAACAAATAGAATATATTTTAGAGCTTACTCCTTTGAATTATTTTTCATCGTTTTAATAAGTTTTTCATGGTAATCTTTTCTTCTGACAAGATGACGAGAGATTGTGTTCATAGCCTTGTTCAGCAACCTCGTGATTAATGGAAGAATACTGATTCCAGGAGCGGTCTTAGAACTTGCTAAGTCTACGCTGCTGTCTTAAAGCCTAACAGAAGCTGGAAGAACCAAAGCCCTGAGTCATGTGAGGAGGCAGAGGAACCAACTCTGGCCACCTGTTGCCCTTTATCAAATGCCAACCTGACTGCATTTGCCTCTTTGGTTTCCCACCACAGAGCTCAACAGCCCGGCCTCGGCACCCAGCTCTGAGAAGCACAGCCCGCTGGCCCAGCCCAGCCCCGCCACCCCCAACAGTCCTGTCGCCCAGCCAGCTCCTCAGCCGCTCCAGCTGCAGGGACATGAAAACAGGTAAAGTCTCCTCTGGCTTTTCTGCTGCTGAGTAGTGAGGGACGTGGGGGGAGAGAGAGTTTGAGACAGGACAGGTCCCGGGCAGGAGAGAGATTTGCATAATGTAGAAATCACCGTGTGCACCTTTGTGTGATTTTGAGATTGTATGTATGTTGTAAACGTAGTTTCATTAGCCAATACAGGTGTCTATCCTTCACAGTAAGAGAAGCTTTCCTGAGGAAATGATGCATCATTGCAGGTGAGTAGGTTCAACTGGCTGAAGAGCACATTAAGGAGGGTCCAGACAGAGTCACATATACAATATACAGTATCATATACAAAGGCCCTTTGGCAGGAGGTAGTAGGCAAGCACGAAGGAGGGAAATAAGGCCAGTGTGGTGGGGGCAGAGGGGCAGCAGCATGGTTTGAGATGAAGCCAGTGAGGCTGGCTGGTGAGGAACTGCCCTAAAGCGTCTCATAGGTTTGTTAAAGATTTTTTCTTTTTTTTTGCGGTATGCGGGCCTCTCACTGCTGTGGCCTCTCCCGTTGTGGAGCACAGGCTCCGGATGCGCGGGCTCAGCGGCCATGGCTCACGGGCCCAGCCGCTCCGCGGCATGTGGGATCCTCCCGGACCGGGGCACGAACCCGTGTCCCCTGCACCGACAGGCGGACTGTCAACCACTGCACCACCAGGGAAGCCCTTGTTAAAGATTTTGATCTTTATCGTACGTGTTGTGAAAGGTCATTGGAGGGTTTTAAGCTGAGGACTGACATCCTTGGAGTAGCTTTTCAAGATCTCTCAGTTGGCCCCGTAGAGAGCACGCTGGAGGCTGATCAGAATGAATGAAGTTAGAAGTGGCCGCCGTGTCCACCGAGCCATGCACACGATGGCTCGGAGAATAACGGCGGTGTGGAGGTGGGAAACGTTGAAGGATTTGTGAGCCTGAATGTAAGTTAGTATTTTTACTGCATTTTACCTTATATCCACCTGCCCACGGTCTAATGAGATTCTTCTATTTCACATCACAAACTAATGTGATCAGGCCCTGTGAACTTGCAGAATAAAAGGCTGCCATAGGAAAACAACACTGTCTTCTTATTGAGACATGTGTGTAACGGGGAGCCTGGGTTAGGTTGCACCGTTAAAGAAAGAGATGAAGACATGTTCCCATGTTGGTTTTGCCCTTTCAAAGGAGAAAAATAGAACAACCCACGGGAACATCTCTGAAAACAAAACCCTCACTGGTCCTTTCCGTGATTCTAACGTTTTCTGAACATCTGCTACCCATCTCCTGCCTCCCCTGTTGGTGAAGATGAAGTGAGACCCAGTTTTTGAGTCCCAGAACTTTCTAGGTTTACCACTCACAATGTTGCAAAGCCAATACTTGCCCTGTGCCAGAAGTGTTCTTTCCGTGAAGCCCTGTTCTATTCTGATGTCTCCCATTTGCTTTCATAGAAAAATAAATATCTATTGTCCTCAGCTGTTTATGGTTTTAATGTAGGCCAGGGAAGAAAAAAGACTAAGCCCCATAAGGTAAATGATACAGAGGCAAGAATTTGACAGTCCAGAAGAGGAGTATGTCCTGGGTGCTTCAGTAATAAGCCCCAGATGCGTTGGCTTTCACCATGTGTGGTTTGGACACATTGCACTGGCTTTCCCCGGGATTCACTTTAGATTTAGGAGGAAGGACCTGAGTGTTCCAGCAGTCTCCGAGCCAGCTTCAGACGCTTCCTCCTGGCTCTGCCACTGTCAATTAAACCTCCCAGCCACAATTGCGTCTTCCCTTTCCAGAGTTAAACTTTCCTGAAATTGGACTCTTGCTTCTGGCGTGCGGGTGGGTAATCTCATCCCTAGTGTGTTATAGTTCAGTGGGGAGAATGACAAATGGGCAAGGCCACTATCCTGTCCCCATCGGCTACTAGTTACAATCGGGGACTCGGCCGCTGTCAAAGAAGCAACAGCCTTTGGATGGTTTTGTTTTTGTCTTTGTTTTTGTTTTGCCTGACTGTGGGATAAAATATTTCCTGACTCTGGGATTAACAGATTGACCTGGTCCAAATTTTTATAAATTACCAACAAATTTACCCAGAGTTCTTACCTATTTTTGCTTCAGTAATATTAAATGCCTGGGAAGTGCCCACTCCTGTTCTAGGGTCCTTTCCTGCCACTGAGGTTTCCTGGCTTAGCTGTTTGATTGTTAGTAGGTGGCTCTTTTCCAAATGAATGGAGAGATTCCATAATCTCACAGATACTAGAACCATTTTTCTAGCTGCATTTAAAAATGGTCATGGTATCAGAGAGAAACTCTTTGCCTTTTTCTAGATCACGCTACAGATGTCTCCAAGACAGCTTGTATGCCAAGCACGCAGTATGAATTTCCTATTAATTCATTTGTACAAGAAGTGCCCACCTACATGTCAAATTGAGCCAGTTTCCATGTTAAAGTAGGATAAAATAAAGTGACAATCTGCTCGCAAATTTTTATCTTATGAGTTAGGAGAAGTGAATATTTTATCCTGTCTTATTTACTCTTGAATTGGCTTCCTCCTGACACTCTGCACACCTCTACTCGTTCCTCTGTCTCGTAACATCCTTTTGGTGCATGCTCAGGAAACAAAATAATTTTAACATGAACATAAGCAAAACCCTGTTCAAGGAGAAGCATTTTTTGAAAACAACAAACAGCCCTTGTGTAATATATTCAGAAACTAAGTATAAATAGCAGAGATCACCTTCCCAGCAAAGGCAATCATTAGTTACTTCTTTTAAATAGCAAGATTAGTGGAAAGCCCTGGAAATTGACTTCTTTCATAGACTTTGTGCAGTAGATGCTGCAGGCTGGACACAATTCTTGAAAGGCCCACATGAGGCAGAAGCCCACCGTAAGATCCCCTACTACATGGGCAGCATTTTTGATTCTGGAACTTATTCATACCATAAAATTCTGCTAGAATTTACCATTAGCAGTCTGGTTTTATCATCTCTAAAGTCTCTTTAAGAGTGGAATTAATAGCTACAAAGAGTTATACTGATATGCAATCTACGAACCTTTCATAAGTAAAGGAACTTTTAAGAGGCTGTTTGTTTGTTTTTAATGATCCTGAGTTCTCCTTAAAATAAAGTGTTTCACAAATTCGGAGTAACAACTTTTGCCCTAACTAGTGTATCATTCACTTAAAAGTTAACAACACTCATAAAAATTAAGTATATTTTCCTTATTAAAGAATTCTTCTTCAGCATAAAATCCTGCACGTGGCACTGTTGAATGAAATGGGAATGCTCAGAGGCAGGCTCGGATGGCTGCTGTTACAAGTTCTAACTGTCCCTGTTTCTAAGGCTCTGGGGAGACTCTTAACATCTCACCCTCTTCTGCTATACCTCATGACACATCTGGTTGGAAACGAAGCTCGTAATGGATATTCCATACCAATACCACAGAGATAATGAAAATAAAGTGACTGTGCTATAACTTAAAACAATGTGACATCTAAACCACCAAGCACACGATTTCTAAAAAGGAACCGATACACACCAACAAATGTCACCCAGTCCAATTCCTTTTGTTTAATTCATGTGTTTGCCTAGTTAAGCATCTTATTCAAAGAGTATTTTAAATAATTCTGTTCTCAGAATGCACACTCTCAGTAGGTGAGTGGGCAGCTTCCTGAGGTATAAAGCAAAGCCTAAATTATGCATCTCACAAAAGGAATGTGTCACTTCTGCAAGTTAAGTAACAAATGGGAACTACTCAAAGCGTTATTAAAATAACTGCATTTCTAACCCCCTTTCAAAACCCTGAATAAACACATCTATTGCCATACACTATCAGTGTGTGAATGTGTTTTTCTAATCGACCTATATCCCTAAGTAGCTCATTATATGGAGTGTTGTCATGGCAACAGGCAATGAACTACAGAGTTAAGTGGCCTCTATATTATGGTGATAATTTTTTCAGTTTATCTTATTAATGATCCCATAATTGTAGGTATTGGCTACTTTAGCCCTTTTTTGGCCCTGGAAGCCCCTCAATTTAGAGCAATTTGGATTCACAAAACAGAACTAAACAATTAGTTTTGGTCTCTGTATTTATTAATAACTAGAAACAAGAAATAATATCTAGAAACAAGAATAAGACAGGTGTTAGACATAAACACTTTTGCCTTTCCTTCTGTCTAATGACCATGATAGTATCTGATACTAAGCCCGAGAGTTATGGTCTAGTATTTAAACCTCTGTGTGATATGTTTCTACTTTTAGCAATGACCCAGTGACTTTCTGCTTGATTTGTAGTTGGTGATTATACCTTACTTTCACTCCTTTAACCTCTGTATGATATTCAAAAAGCCCCAAGCTAACAGGTTAAAAGAGCCTTTAGTTAGATATTCATAGAGTGTGTAGAGATCACTTCAATCATGTTTTCATGAAGTAATGGATGCTGTGTGTGTGTCAGAGAGAGAGAGAGAGAGAGAGAAAAATTGAAACCGTTGGTTTACTGATATTAAGACAGACTGTTGTTTGGGGATGTACAGTGAAGTGTGTGAGTCCCTAGATTTGCTGCAGTTGCACAGTTTTTAAATAGCAAAGTCAAAGAAGGTTATCCCTAAGTCCTTTTCCACAAAGTTCTAAGTGACCATCACTTTTACCTTGATTTCTTTAAGGAGCCAAATGAAAAGTATACTGTATGGCATTTGTCAAAGATTTTAAAATAATACTTATCATTTATTGAATCTTCTCATAATCCTGAACATGAAAAGGACCACCAAGAGGTGTGGCCTCTACATGCCTGGAGGTCCTAAAGTCATTCGAATCTCCTTAGAATGCTGAGATACCAAAGCAAGTACCATTTCCATTCATTTAGTTACAGGTCAGAAGTAAAAGCAAGGCAAGATGTGAAACCAGATATCCGACAGCCTCCGTTCACGGACTACAGGCAGCCCCCACTGGACTACCGGCAGCCCCCAGGAGGGGACTATCTGCAAGCCCCGCCCTTGGACTACAGGCAGCCCTCCCCTGACACCAGGCAGTTCCCTCTGTCAGACTACAGGCAGCCCCAGGTACCTCAAAGATCCCGTTGCATTTGTTTCATTTTTCCAGTCAGCAGACCTGTCATTCACACACACACACACAACTCTGGTGCATTTATTTATGGTGCTCAACAGCAGTGAATGAGAAAATTCAAAGGAGAGATAATATCACTCAGGCCTATATGCAATAGTTACATGTTTGCCAAGTCAACAGATGAGTACTGAAGGATGTGTACGAAAGTCAACAAGCTACCCAGCGATTCTTTTAATGACTGAGGAAACTGTGTTCAGATCTGCTCAGGCCTTTGGAATCTTGTCTTGCATTTTGCTAGATGGTGAAATCACATTACTCCTCACGATATCGTGTCAGTTGGAACACGTTAACTATGAGAGAGAAGGAGAACAGAGGGACAGACCGTGGAAGCTTCTCTGATATTAAACAATTGTTTATTCTATTTTCTCCCCAACCCCAAAGGATTTTGATTATTTCACTGTGGACATGGAGAAAGGAGCCAAAGGATTTGGATTCAGTATTCGTGGAGGGAGGGAGTACAAAATGGATTTGTACGTGTTGAGATTGGCAGAAGATGGGCCAGCAATAAGAAACGGAAGGATGAGGGTAAGAGTGTTCTCTTTTTATAGAATTGCTTAATTCTGAAAGAAACGCTCCTTGTGGTGTCGGAGGAGCAGTGAGACCTGCTGTTAAGCAAACTGACTTGCTGCAGACGTTGCCTTCTTTCCATTTCATGATCCAGTTTTCTAAAGGTTCGCCCAAACATTGTTTAAGAATTATCTCTCATTCTCCTTCTTATGGCTTCTAATTGAAAACTCTCAAGATGGTGTTTTACATATATATATATATATATATATATATATATACACACACATATATATATATACACATATATATGTATGTTTCTCTAAAGAACAAACGAAAGAAAACAAAGTAATCTAAGAAATAGCTTGAAATGGAAACATGGCTCCATAATTTTTTGCATGGTTTGAGGATTCAGTTTTTATCTGAGATTGAATCTTTTGAAATTCATTTTGAGTTTCATGCTTTTTTCTTCACACGGTTTTGTGTTTCTTTGGGACTTCTTTTGAGTTGACTGGCTTTGGCTTTGACGTTGGGCAGAAAGAAGCAGGAGAAAGGGGAATGAGGCTTCTTGGATACATGTTGTCCTTAAAAATGGTAGCAGTCAAAAATGTTCCAATTAGAGTTTAAGCTGAGGGCGGATTTTTAATGTAATAGTTACTTTGAGGCGTCTGGTTGATGCATAACTGATTCTTCCTCTAAAGGTGCAAAACAAAACTTGAGAACAATACAGAACATTAGTCAGTCTCTCTATAAAATGTCATCTAGTAAGCACATAGAAAAGGTTAGTTATTATAAATAAAATCTAGAATTATTCTTGCCCTTCCTCCTTGTTCTTTAAGTTAATACAGAAAAGCTGTGGTTCTTGTGTTCTAGAGCTTCAGATTCTCGTGCTGAGTTTCACCAACCGATTGCTCCTGTCAGTGGAATGAAACTGTTATTCCTACCACCCAGTCTGCCATTTCTATAGTCTCATTTCCGAGTCAGTGAATCATCCATGGTGCAAAAGTAGAAAGTGTAAATGTGTCTGTTTTTCTCCATGACTTTACAATCCCTTGACAACTGGGAAGTATCCAAGTTGGAATTTGAACCCAGGCAAGGCTGACTCAGGAGAATGACAGTCCCCGCCTTGATCCAACACCAGCCTCCTCTTACCCCTTCTACATGTGGTTTTAGAATAGGTCTCTGCATGGTTTCTTAACTCCCGGTTCCCACTTTCTTAACATGCTGCAAAGCCAACTCACAAGTGGTTCAATAGAACAAAATTAATCTTTGCGGTGCAGTGGAAAACAACACAGCACAGAAGCCATGAGTGAGATGACCAGAGCCCTGAGAGAGGGGACCTCCCCTTACCCCACAAGTGGATTTTAGAGGTGTGGGTTCCAAATGGTGGCCACATTTTATAACAAATGATGGCCACATTTTATAACAAATGGTCTAAATGGCTAATCAAAATTTAAGCCAGAGCAGTAGTTCTCAGTGTGGTCCCTGACATCAGCATCCCCTGGGAATGTGTTAGAAATGCAGATTCTCCAGCCCCGTCGCAGACCTACTGAATCAGAAACTCTAGGAGTGAGGCCACCAGGCTGTGTTTGTGTGATCTACCTCCAGGTGAATCTGGTACAAGCTGAAGTTTGGGAACCACTGAGCTAAAGGGAAGCTGTCATGACATAGGTACGGCACAGTTAGGATGTGTGTGGCTCAGGCTTCGTTCATTCCCCCTAGATCCTGTCCAGGGAGTTTTCCATCCTGTTCCAGTGGTTTACCTCAGGTCCTTAAATCCATGGAAACACAGATTTAGAATTCTGTAGGCAGGTGCTCAATTTTAGGAAAGATGCTTTTTCTTCTGGCAGGTGATAAAAATGAGTCCTCTACCTGGGTTTCAGAAAATGGTATTTTCACTTCTTGTCAAAGATTATAGAAATAAGCAATATTTCACCATTTTCCATGTCATTTTTATAAAGCAATGCATTCTTTCTGTGTACAGGCTGTCCAAAAGGAGTTATTATGGCCAGTTTTAGATATTATGGGTGTTTATTTTGGACTACTATATATATATATTTCTAGCTTTTAATTCTCAAAGAAAACAAGTCACTTGAAAGTCACAGAAATTCTATGGATCAGATTTTACTGTTTGATTTTATTTCTGATCTTTAAGGCTAGGAACTTGGCAGGGATGAATGGATGACTTTTTTCTGCTTTTAAGAGTTATACTTAATATTCAGATGTTCTGTTTTTTTTTTTTAAGTTTATTTATTTTATTTATTCTTTTTTGGTTGTGTTGGGTCTTCGTTGCTGCGCGCGGGCTTCCTCTAGTTGCAGCGAGCGGGGGCTACCCTTTGTTGAGGTGCGAGGGCTTCTCATCGCGGTGGCTTCTCTTGTTGCGTAGCACGGACTCTAGAGCTCAGGCTCAGTAGCTGTGGCGCACGGGCTTAGTTGCTCCGCGGCATGTGGGATCTTCCTGGACCAGGGCTCGAGCCCTTGTCCCCTGCATTGGCAGGCGGATTCTTAACCACTGCGCCACCAGGGAAGCCCTGTTTTTGTGTTTTTGTTACTCATGGATTCTTAACGGCATCAACGGAGAACTTGTCTAGGGTAACAAACTCCATGTCAGGGAAGGAAACTACTTCCTCATGTAAGTTCAAAGGTGCTACTAGATAATACAAACGTATTAACTACTGTTTGAATTTGATAAATATTTTGTATCTGTAGAGTTAAAGATCAACAATTGTTCTTGATCATAGCATATAACTAATTCAGATCTTGTTTTCATGTTTATTATCAAATTTAATCATTTAAAGCTAATCTTTTCTACCTTCATTAGTACTTACTAATTAGCAATAACCTTTAATTCACAGATGTGTTTAAATTATTTCAGCAAGGACCAGGATAGATTACTATTTGCATGACTCAATGGTTTGATTATTTTAATGCATAAACTCGATAACATATAGGTTACCAATTTGGGAATTTAACAGTGAAAATAATTCGGAACTTATTATAAAATTCCCCCTTGATACCGTTGTTGCCCAGATACGTATAGATCTTAAATATCTGTGCATGTGATGCTTACAAGGCAGCTGTTCACTCCATGGGTATTATGGCTTGGTTCATAAAGTTCCAAGACTTCTGAGAAAAGTAGGTGAACTAGACATTCACAGGCTACATTAAAAATAAGCTCAAGAAGAAGAGAAGCTAGCACCACCTGGTCCTTCCCAGCCTTTAAAACACTCAGGCGTATTTCTCCGTGTTAATTGCGATTCCTTCACCTTCAGTGTTAATGCATTATTGCCTCCGTGCCCAAACTAAACACACACTTTGTGATCGAGTAAGTTTGGAACACACTGTATAGCTTTGTTTTGTTTTGTTTTTCCTTTTTTCATGATCAGAAACAGAAGGGAAAAGCCAGGAAGTGCCTGGCAATAGCAGGGTGTCTTAGGTTAAACTCAGTACAGTAAAACTGCCCAACTCAGAATTACTACACAAGAGCTGGCTGATTCTGAAGAGTCATTTCATGTAACTGTTAATGAATTACTGTGCCCGTGGATTAGGGCTATAAGTAGCACTACTTTTGAACATTGAGTTAGTGCACCAGATGTTAGTCTCTGAATCTGAGACTCTTCCTGGGTCTTTTATGTTAGTCTTGGTTGTAGGACAGTGATGGTATGCGCCTGTTTAGTAGTACAAGACTTTGCCAAGATTACAGAGAAAACCAGGTAAATCCGATGTCAGAGGAGGTGGCTAACAGAGGTGTAAAAACATCCCTCTCACACTGGGAATGTTAAGAAATGATGGCACAGATACGTATTTTTAAAGCACGTCTTTAGGCATCCAACTGATATCCTAGGCATCCAAGAGAAATACCAAAGTTCTTCGCACCTCAGGTGTTCTTTTACGGATCTGGTGAGGGACAGGTGGGCATATCCCAAAAGTGAGTCCCAGGTGAATGATTTCACTCTAGTATTTCTGGGCACCTGCAGCAGAGAGAATAATCTTAGCAGAGATCTTTGGCAAGTTAGACTGTCTGACTTTCAAATTGATTAATAAGTACTCCCACAGAACATGAATTATTTTTTTCCTCCTCCTCGGAAAGTATTGTATGTTTACTCAATTTTTTTGTTAAATAAATACTTTCTTTCCACTTGATGAAACAAGCATCCTGGTAAGGTATCCTGATGAGGTCAATGGGTTCCCTCAAAATATGAGAACGTACCGACAGCAAACCACAATCAGAAAGTAGTGGGGAAAATAATGGCTCCTTCTGAGGGTCAGATTTACAAGCCAAGTCTAGATACAGGGGAGAGGATAAGAAAATCTTTTTCAGAAGATCAATTCAATGCTTATTTAAAAGAGAGTTTCTAGAACTTCCTTGATCAGAAACATATAAACATAACAATAAATGAATTTAAAGATTTACTAAAAATATGACTATTTTGATCCCTTCTAAACCCTCAGCCCTGCTCTCAACCTCCAAAATAAGCCAACATGATGCATTTGCTTTATTAAATTTAGAAACATCAATTCACTTTGTTGAACCTCAGTAGTAGAATTGATTTTTCTTATTAAGACAAAGAAGTGAGGTATTAATTTGTGAGTGACTTACGATATTGAGAGAGGGACTTAGATATTATGACATGTCATGGTATAGAACTTGAATAGAATAGTGCAATTAGAATAAACACCAAGAAAAACAATGTGAAACATAATTACATGAAATATTCACTTCATAAAAAAAAAGTAGAGAGTAGCAAGTTTTGACTTTAATTAGTAGCTAGTGTTTCAACATTAATTAATACTATGTAATAAACGTTAAAGAGACAAGACAAAACACAATCTGTAAATGTAGAAAATAAGGGGAACGGGAAGTAGAAAGATAATCATCTTGTCTGATAGCTTTTCCTCAGTCATTCAAAAAGGCTAATATCAGAAGAGAAACACAAATGACATTCAGATTTCAAGGAAAAGTGTAAGAAAGTATTAGAAAATAGTAATGGATCTGTTTTAAAAAGAAGACTTTTTAAGTT